AAAGTTTATTTGTAAATTATTTTGAGTTCTTCCTTTTCAGGAGAAAGGTGAAGCTACTAGATTCTGCCTGGATAATTGTTAACAATACTAGTATAATACTAGTATATTACGTAGCTGCTTCACCCAGTGTAAAACCGTTCCACAGTTCATAACACAAGGCTTGTCTCTGCCCATATTGCCAATTTAGGATATCGTAACATGGCAAAACTAACTGCTACAAAGATCTATTAACTTCGTAGTGCTTTGTCTGGAAAGATAAGACCAACGCCCTGAAATTCATATATCCTGAATGCAAAGAAAGAGGACAAGGAAAAAGCTGAAAAAGTTACTTAGCAATGTTTTGACTTTATGGAAAGTGAACTTACTTGAGGTGGTCTAATAGGCTTGGGTAGGCTACGGCAAGGAAAAGTGTAAGCATAAGATGCATTAATTGGAATTAATTATAGCATTCTTAGAGTGACTTTTTTTTAATTTTTTCTTTCCAAATTCTAATACAATCTCTCAATTTTTTCCCTACCAGTATCCCCTTATGTTTGGATTGATCCTTGCATTCTGCTGGTGTTCTTTGGTTTGCTGTAGTCGAATTTATATGGGAATGCATTCAATTTTGGTAAGAAAATAATCTGCTAAACTTTTATTTTAATGGTTTAAGTTTTTACAGGGTGGTAATTGTGTATAATTTTTTTTTTTTTTAGAATGTCCTACCATATAGGAACACAATACTTATATTTCTTCAGCAGAGAAATGGATACAATAGCTAAAAGTGGATGTCAAACTTCTGTTAATTTATATTCTTCTTTCATAAACTCAGAGACTTAGCTGATGTTTAATAGCGGCTTTAGTGCAGAAATTGCTGACTGCACTAAAGCATAGACTAACTTTTCCTCTATAGAGTAGAAATAATTTTGCAGGATGAGATTGTGACTGTTAATGTCCACTCGGGTTCCGTGTCAGCTACTCAGCTACTGCTTCTGAAATAAGCAAGTATGACTTTGGTATCAGTCAATTGTATTAGCTTTTATCAAGCATTTAACTAGTGGAAGTGAATAAAAATGACTCATTGAAGATGGAGCAATACAAATACTGCTGACAAAAGTCCCGCCTCCTGGCTTATATGGAGAAGTTGATAAGCATGTGAATGAAGGTGATCCAGTTTCTAGTGCTTGGATTTCTAAAAAGCTTTCAACAAATTCCTTCTTAACAACTAAAGGTGACTAAAGTTGCAGATACTTCTGTGCAACTGAGTGAATAATCGATGGTAACTGAAATGTAATGATAAACATAAAAACAACTAGAGTAACCTTTTAATTAAGAAAAGACATTTTAAAAACAACAATAAAACTGAAAATCAAGTATGAAGCCACAGAAGTTACCTCTTCCTCTCCTTTAGTAGTTGGAAACAGTTCTCCATTCTTGCAGTACTGTTAATTCTGAAGCTGGAGTGGAAAGTCTAAGCTTCTCTACTGCCTAGCTGCAGTGGTCCTCAACTGCCTTACCCGCTGTTGCTGCCAGCGTGCCTCTGTGTTGGCACCCAGGCGCTTGGATCCAGTGTTGAGCTGTTCCAGCAAACAAAGTTGGCAGAACTAACTTAGTTGGGCTAGTTTTGTGCTGACTGTAGGCTGGAATGCCCCAGTCCTGGGCAAGGACCATTGTAGCCAGCAGACAGGTAGGTCTACAACTTCATTTGATCATAGCTTCATTCATGATCTGATCATGATGCAGATGTCCTATTAATAGGTGATCAAATGCAATTCCTTACCTTATCTTTAACATGAAAAAAGATTTAATCTTGTACAGTAAATGAGAAAAGATGGGAATCCCCAAGTTGCTTTTAGCAACAGAGCAACTAGGCTTGTCTCCATGCTAATGTAACTTAAATTATTTTTAAAATAGTTGTTAAACTGAAACCATATCTTTCTCTCTCTCTTCAACAGGATGTTATTGCGGGATTTCTGTATGCTATTCTCATCTTGGTTGTCTTCCATCCAGTTGTGGACCTGATTGATAACTTCAACTTAACTTACAAATATGCACCTTTAATTATCATCAGTCTCCATTTAGCCCTGGGCATCTTCTCTTTTACTCTAGACACCTGGAGCACATCACGAGGAGACACAGCTCAGATACTGGGCTGTGGTGCTGGAGTAGCCTGTGGCTCTCATGTTAACCACATAATGGGTCTACAGCTCGATCCTCCTCCCGATACGTTACCTTTATCTCTTTCCTCTCTCACTGTGACTGTGTTTGGAAAAGCCATATTGCGGTTGTTGATTGGAGTAATAGTTCTGTTGTTAACAAAAGTAGCGATGAAAAAAGCCACTATTCCACTGGCATGTAAAATATTTCGCATACCACATGACGATGTACGGAAAGCAAGACAACGCATGGAAGTTGAGCTTCCCTATCGCTATATTACATATGGAATGGTTGGGTTCTCCCTCATGTTTATTGTTCCTTGCCTCTTCCATTTTATTGGTCTTTCTTGATGCAGTTTTATCACTTTAAATAGGGAGAACAGAGCTAGGTGCTTTTTGAAGAGGTGCACTAGTTTGCTAAGGGGAGGCCAGTGAGCTTGGCTTTAGCAGGGTCTTCACTTTAACAGCAATACATAGCAGGCAAAGCATTTAAAGAACTTTGCACATCTTTGGGTATGGTATGGGGCCAGAAGTCAACTATCATCCACAAGAAGTGCTGAACTCTATAAATGCTATGTCTAGACTTATTGCTGTAACAAAGTCCGTGTGTGTGTGTGATGCAATGAATGTATCTGGAATGTTTGTCATACTGTACCTGTATACATTGACATTTTAACAGGTGTGTCTGACAGCTAATCAGAAAGCTCCATTCATGATCTGTCTGCCATTTCATAGTAATTTATTCAAGCTGTTGGACCATAGACTGCTAAATTTGCTTTCCGCTATTTCTTCCTGAAGTACTGCTTCAATATGTTTCAGCTAATAGGCGTTTCTAATGGACCAAACTTGTAATGAGGTTGATTTTTTTTTTTCTAAAAAAAAAACCAAAACAAACAGAAGCCGTTTTCTTTAGCCCCTTGTGCAGAGTAAGATGTCTGGATTGGCATTGGTAGATATCACTAGAGTATACGTGATTCAGGTACTGTATTTTATGGTTTAATAACTGTGCCTTTCTGTTGCTAAATTAAGAAATGCCATATATACTGTGATGTAAAAATGCCTAATTTTATTTAAAATCCTACATAATTAGGCATATATTTTTAAATGTTAGATTGTCCACATTGCTGGCATGGTTCAAGTTAACCGGAATATTGCCTGATCAAAATTGCATAAATGAAATGATCCGAGAATCGTGTCCTTAAGCTCAAGATGTTGTAAATGGACAATAATCCCTTTTGTAAGTATTTTTAATGTGTATTGCAAGTTACTGGAAGAGGATATATTTTTCTGGAGATCGTTTATACTGTGGACAGATACTCAAAATTAATTATCTAGACATACAAACAATAAACACACCCATTCTGCAAAGAAATGGGCTTCATTTATTACTCCAAACTAATTTAGAAGGACCATTGTTTTTAGATACTTGCTTAGAAAATATAATCCTTATTCTAGAAAAAAAATATGTATTTTTATGCATTAACATACTATATTTAAAGGTGATAATCACTTTTACCCAATTTAGATAGCTATAAGACAATATAATCGAATTTTTAATCATTCTGATAGGCAGGTTGTGAGCAGTCAGGACAGTATGGTCAATGCATAAACGGTTTGTGCATATCTAAATTTTACTGAATTATTATGCACTTTTCAGCTTTTCATGATCCCTTTCCCAATGATGAGTAGAATATGACCCCGCAACTGTAATTTCATGTGCCTCTTTTTTGCGTTTCATTTTGTCTATGTTAATGCGTTGTCTAATCTGTTCTTTCCATGTCAGGAACTTTCATATTGCAGCAAGAGCTGTCTTATTGTCTGGCCAGACATGATTTATGTAGTTTGTACATTTTTTTTCAGGAAAAACATAATTTGGTTGGGAAATATAGTCATTAGATAGAATACAAAGCTTACATTGTTTTGTAAACACTATTTGGAATTGGAAGGTTTTTTGTACCGGAGCTCGTATCTCCAAACTGTTAATATGTAAATTAACAAAATTAACTTCATATCTCTTTCCTCAAAGCAGTCAAAGTTATGGTACGTTGACATTAGATGATGTGAAAAGCTAACTTTTCTGATGCATTTCTTCAGTGCATTCAGAATGCACCGCTATGAATGTATTCAAACGGATGTATTCGGAACTGGTAGTGTGTTAAACAACTTCTGTCGTTGAAAAGACTTTACCTAGTAGAAAATGGTTAGCTGGTTTCAGTGCATATTTCTGGATTTGATTTTTCTGTCTGTTCTTCCTTTGCAGTTTAATGCTGAATGTGCAGTAAAAGGTAAATCAGTTTCCAAGGTTTTGAGCGAGGGGTTTCCACTGGTTTGACTTTGCACACTAAGATAGTCATCAAATAAATACCTGGAGGGAATGTACACAAAATGCCTTACGCTTAGAGCCCTCAGCAAGTGATGTAGTTCCAATTATGTTTAATTACTCTGAGGACTGGTGAAAAGAATAGGATAACTTTCTCTGAAATTTAGGGCATATTCTTCTTAAATATCCTAGCTTTACAGTTTATAGCGAAAAAATGTTTAAATTCTAGCACAGAAGTGAGCAAATCTAATTTTTTAAGGTATATAGTTGAATTCTAGGAACTTCGAGTTCACAGCATAAGAGTGATCTTAAAGCTGTCTTTTCTGGCTGTGCTTGCTCTGTGCTATTAATGGAAAATAAAATCTACTGTGGAAGATCTAGAAAGGGTGAAAAATCGTATGCAGGTAGAGCTTTCAACAGGCTAAGGAAAATTGCACTGTAGTTTATTCTACTGTTACTCATAAATATATATTTTATATTTTTATACATTACATTGGGTAACTTCAAAATGTCATATTCCATGTACCACATAGTCTAGTACACAGGAAATGTGTATCAGAATGTTTATACAGCACCTTTACAACCCCATCTCTAAGACTGCAACTACCTTACTGAAGTTTACATGAAAAAAGTTTTACTATTCTATTTTCATGTTTTATAAGGGGCTAGGCTCAAGAGGGCAGTTTAGCACAAAATATCATGCAATATGAATACTGTTACAGAATAAAGAATCACAGAAATGCAAAAATTTAAAAAGCCAACTTAAATATTTGTATTTTAGTATATTTGGGTTTAATAATAAGTTAAGATTCCTTCAAATCAGGCATAACAAAACAGCAGGTAAAACTGGAGCACTTTCTTTGCCCTAAGCTATTCCTAGAGTTGAACATGAAAAATGTTTCTAGCATGAGCATCAGCTGGTACCAAATTATTTATAAATAAATTTAACATAGCTTTAAAAGGTAGTTAAATGTCTTTTCAGAAGGACAATACGCTTGAAACCTTTCATGAAGTGGTAAAAAAAACATATTCATATATCACTGCTAGTGAACTTCCTCAGTTCCAGGTTGCATAGTCCTAAAGAGAGAAATACTACTACTGTATAGAAGCAGATATAAATACACAGTTATTCCAAAAAAGCTACGAGTTAAATTTGTCTTATTTTATTACTGTAAGAAATAAAACCTCAAACTAACAGTCACATAAGAGTGTAATTTGGCACAAAATTCTGTTTTCCAAGAGGCTGAAGAGACTCAAATTAGTCTTAAACATAGGAGCAGGATTTTTTCTGACCTGGCCCTCAATGAGAACTAACGTATGCATTGCATCTTGGGTAAGGTTTAGAATCTATTATTTTGAAAAACGTTTCATGTTTATAAAAAAGCTATTACTTTTTCTTCCCATACCATGAACTGGGGTTGAAGCCTCTTTCTCCTGTGCGATCACCTGTGAAGCTCTTCAGCCTCTGGTCACATTTGCCTTACCACTTGCCTTGCAAATTTGGGGACAGGAAGGAGGAGGTGAAGCTATTTTAAGGTAAATTGGCAAGCCAGAGGGAGTTGTATTTTGTTCATTTACTTGAATTTTTTTAAGCTTATGTACACCTTTTCTCCTGAAAAAATCAGAAAGATGCATTTCTTTTAAAATGGCATCTCCAAATGTGATATGTGGCTCTTTTTTTTTTTTTTTTACCAGAACAGTGTTAAATTGTCTGGATTTTAAAAGCTATTATATTTTCCTTTGCTACTATTTTTTATTACTGCTTTCAGTATTTTTTACTCCATTTCTTGCTTATTTCCCGGGGAGTGTCCTGAATGTTTTGTAAGCAATTGCTACTCATGTGAAGATTGTAACTTTGAACTTGTAAATACTTAAGGGCTGTTAGTGGCTGTTAGCTGCTCAAATACATAAAAACAAACCTTGCATGCTGTAAGTAAATACATCTGTTGTGCTAAAAGTTGTTTCTATTTCCGTATTTGCTTTCTCAATACAAAATTGAGATTTTTCACTAACAATACATAAGATATTTAATAGTTCAATGGTATGAAGGGACATTGGTCTAACTCCTGTTAACTTTACTGGGAGTTCTGCACCTAGTTCCTTCCACATTACATTGAGAATGAACCCTGAAGGTCGTGTCCATGCTCTGACATGCGTACAGGCACCAGTGTGTGTGAAGTGACTTACCTTCTAAGGCGTACATGTAATATCCTTGCTTTTGAGGTCTGCAAGATTGTTCTTGTTAAAATCATACTTAGCCCGGTTTTTACAAGACTTTTAAAGGGCTTAACTTGGAAGCTGTTTCTTAGGAGCTGGAACTGGCTGTACATTTGCAAGACTTAATTGATGCTTTCCCCTCTGTACCATAAGTGTGCTGAATGATGAGATCCCAGAATAATGTCAGTAGATAAAATGATGACAGGAGAATTGATTTCTTGGGGTATCGTGACTCACTGTAATTGATTCTTGGGTGTTTTTCTGATCTAATGTAGAATGTTTCTAGGTTATGCAATTTACTGCTATATTCTACAAATGACTTTGAGGAAACTTTTGACTTTTTTGTGGGAGGAAGTCTCGTTGAATAATAATTTGGAAACAAAATGAGATATCATGTGGCAGAGAGGATATAGCTCTTTAGGTGTTCTCTAAAAAGCGACTATCACATGCTGGAGTTGAAGCAAATTTAACTATGCATTAAAAAAATTTCTTTGCACTCTGTTCTGTGCCAGAAATATTTTGCGTGTTGGTAAGAGTCCACTTAGCAAAACGAAGCAAAGCAATATGTGCTTGCAGTGTCTAATTAGTAACGTTCCTGTAGGATCAAAGAAGAGAGGGTACGTAGGAGAATAATACCCTAAAGATATTGACCAGTAAATGTAAATAAAAAGTCCTATCAACTTGGAGAATTTTATTAGTCACTAAACTTTGACTAAATTAGTCGCTAAGGTTTTCCCACAACTTTACTTTTGTTAGAAGGTGTAATGTAAGACAAGGGTGATATTCCTGAAATGGAAATGCGATATTAAGACAA